CACCATGACCAGCTAATGTTTTGTATTTTTAGTAGAGACGGGGTTTCACCATGTTGACCAGGATGGTCTCGATCTCTTGACCTCGTGATCCACCCGCCTCGGCCTCCTAAAGTGCTGGGATTACAGGCGTGAGCCACCGCGCCCGGCCTACTCAGTGATATTTTATTGCTTAAGGTAAACATGAATTGGCCATGCTCCACTAAAAACTTTGATGGATCTTCGCTACTTTTGGGAGGAAAAAAACGACACTCCTTAGCATGGCTCCTGAGGTCCCATAACAGATCCTCCCTGCCCACCGCACAGCCTCCTTCCAAGCCTCCACTGGAACCGCAGTGCCACCCGCTGCTTTCGCTTTGGCCACGCTCCCCCACCATCTGAGCACTAGGTCTTGGCATACTTCCTCTGCCTGAAACGTTCTGAAATATTTGTGTGATGGGGGGGGTTGAGACACCCAAAGCTTCACTGCCACCCAGCATGGGCCTGCACACACCCGCTTTCTTCCTTTTCTTGTTACTGATCGGGTTTTTCATCTCCTGGCGGCTCCTCATAATCTCCCGGAGCCGGAAAGGGATCTCCTGTTCGTCCTGGTTCTTAGGTTTGCAATTCACTTTCTTCTTCTCTTTGCTGGGAAGAACAACACGGGGGTAAGAGGCATCCCAAATAAAGCATAAGCAGAATAAGAGAAACGGAAGTTGGGTCTGGCAATAGAATCTGCAGCGGCCGCACCTGGCTGCTGCGGTGCGAGCCACTCCAGGGAACAAGGATCTTTCCTCTCGGTCTCACCCAGTGGCTGTCCCTGAACAAACGCGCTTCTTCACGGGACAGGAGGCAGAAAGGCGCTCCGAAAGCCCGGGAGGCCCGTCCGCCCAGACCTAGTCCAGAACCACAAGGACTGGACGCCGGGGCGCGGGAAAAGCAAAACCAGGGACTCGCTCAAGCCTCCATTCATTCAACCGATCCTGGCGGAGCGTGGGCCGCGGGCACAGAGGAGGGCACCGAAGGGGTCGGAGCGAACGCTCCCTAGGGGATCCCGGGAGGAGCCTTCAAACCATCCCCTTCTCCGGGGAAGTGCAGCGGCCTCGCGGGGCAGCGCACTCACCTGCGAAGCCCGGGCCACGGGGCCGTGCGCTGCTTCCCCAGCGGCTGCACTTGCTGCCGCCGCCGCGCCCGCCGAGAACTCTCAGGACCCTCCGGCGCCCTGGGTATCGCTACTCTGCGTCCAGCTCCAGCCATCTCCACGCCGGGACCTTCCCTGGCGAAGCCACTTCCGCCTTCCTGCACGGTTCCGCCCCCACGATCGACACTTCCGCTTCCTGCGCTTGCCCCACGCTGGCTGGAGCGGCGCGACTGTCTGCAGGTCTGGGATTGGCCGGAGCAGCTGCCGCTCACGGCCGGGTTCCGGAACCTGGTCCGCGGGCGATGCTGCTGCGGAGCGTGGCGGGGGGTGGCTGGGCGGCCGCGGTCGCGGCCCGTGGATCGGCAAGTACCTGGAGGGGTCTGGGCAGCGCTGAAGGGCACGTCCGAGAGGCCACTGTCCCGGGGCCCGCGCATGCCGGGAGGACCGCGCGCTGGCCGCCCTCCAGAGGGGTCCTCGCCCCTCTCCTCCATCCACTTCGCCGAGCCTCCGCTCCCGAATCTGCGGAGGGGCCCTTAGCCCCGGGAGGGGAAGCAGCCCGGTGAACGGCCACGTTGCTGTTCCTCGGTATCTGCCGAGCGCCTACTGTGTGCGGCCCTCCTAGGCTGTGGGGACTGGCCGTGGACAAGGAGCTGATGCTCCTCGCAGGATTAGAGAAATAAATGAAGTGCGTAGCGTGTCGGGCGGTGATCCCGGGTAGATAGAGCGGGGGAGGGAGGGAAGGCTGCCTATAGGACCTTCAGGCTGGGATGAGAGGGACCTCAGAGGCCTGAGCTTTGTGACAGGGAAACTCGGATAAAGGGTGGTGCCATTCTTCCGGGTGGTCCCTCAGAGGCGGGTGGCGGGGCTTGGCTGTACTGGTAGAGAGATGGTGCGCTGGCCAGGAGCCTACAGGGTTACCGCTTCCCCCTACGCCTGTCCACAGAGCAGCTGTCTTAGCTGCAGGTGGCAAGCGCCTCCCGACCCACCCACCATCTGCTGGAGTGCACGCCCGGCGCCAGGCCCTGATCCCCACACTTCTTGTGAATCAGTCACACCGTGTCATACTCATACCTTCCATTTCACAATGGGGAAGCTGAATCTGGGGAGATGAAATAATATGTCTAAAGTCGCAGGAAGTGAAAAGCTGAGAAGGGCATGCAGCCACTTGCCCAATGAGGTGAGAGCTGCCATGTTCCCAGAGCTGGGGGTAGACAAGGCCTCACCAGCTTCCTGGAGAATCACATGTTTGTCTGCATCCTCAGGGGACTCGCCGGCTCTCCAGCCAGGACTGCTGCCAGAGACTTCCTGGAGGTGGCAGCTTTCTTCAAAGGCACCATCCCAGAGCACAAGCCCCTCATGGCCACAGAGAATTCGGGGCAGACCACACAGAGGTGGGCTCCCAAGCAGGTATGGATGGCACTGGGTCACCTAAGGCTGAGCTGCCCAGCAGGGGCCCCTCAGAGCCCCAGGACCTTCTGCCACCCGAGCTTCAGCCACCCACAAACTGTTGCATGAGTGGCTGCCCCAACTGCGTGTGGGTGGAATACGCGGACAGGCTGCTGCAGCACTTCCAGGATGGTGGGGAGCGGGCCCTGGCTGCCCTGGAGGAACACGTGGCTGATGAGAACCTCAAGGCCTTCCTCAGGATGGAGATCCGACTCCGCACCCAGTTCAGAGGTTGAGCCAGCCCTGCTAGACTCCCTCCCCTGGATGGAGTCCAGGAAGCAGCAGCAGCCTCCTCCCTTCACACCCCTCCACAGACTCCTTGTGTCCAACGGGAATAGGAGGATTGATTTATTGACTTCTGAGAAAAAATAAATTCTTTGTGTTGGTTAGATGGGAGGCTTCTGTTTTGGGGGTGGTTTTTTTGTCTAGTTGTCCGTAAGGCCCGTGTCTTCAAAGCAAGCAGGTCCAGGTCGGCGTTGTCCATCTCCAGACCCTTGCAGCCGTCACCCCCTGTGAGGGTAAAATAAGACCCCCGTTCCTTGAACATTCAAGTGACAGTGACTGCAGGTCCCAGCTTCCCCCAAGTCCTGGCAAAGGCCAGCTCGGGTTGCTGTTAGCATGCAGCAGAGGGAGGGCCATCTGATCTGGAGTGGCTGTGGCAAAGCCTTTGGCAGGCACAGAAGCTCACAGGCAGCCTGGAAGTGCCTGCCTGTCCAGCGCCATCAGTCCCCTGCTGGGGTCCTCAGGGACCCTTCCACCAGTCTGGCAGAGGTGCAAATCAGCCCTCAGTGGCCCAAGCACTACTTGGAAGCAGTCCTTCCAAATCCTTCAGCCACAGGTCCCAAAGGAGTTGGTAAGAGTGGCAGGACGTGTCTGGGTGTGGTGGCTCTCTCCTGTAATCCCAGCACTTTGGGAGGCCAAGGCAGGCAGATCACGAGGTCAGCTGTTTGAGACTATCCTGATCAACATGGGGAAACCCTGTTTCTACCAAAAATACAAAAGTTAACTGGGTGCGGTGGTGCAAGCCTGGAATCCCAGCTACTCAGAAAGCTGAGGCAGGAGAATTCCTTAAACTCAGTAGGTGGAGGTTGCGGTGAGCCAAGATCACGCCACTGCACTCTAGCCTGGGTGACAGAGCAAGACTCTGTCTCAAAAAAAAAAGAATGGCAAGATACTAGCTCCAAAACCTGGAGCCACCACCTCTCCACCAGTACAGCCGAGCCTCACCACCCTCCTCAGGGACACCCAGAAGCATTGCCCCACCCTCTACTGTGTTTCCCTGTCACAGAGCCCAGGCTTATGGAAAGGCAGCCTGGCCTCTGGACCTTCGGCCTGGGGTAGGACTTTGTTTTAAGACCCTTCCTACCTGTTTTCCTGTTTTATCTCTTTAATTTTTTCCCCAACAGAGTCTTGCTCTGTCGCCAGGCTGGAGTGCAGTGTTGTGATCTTGACTCACTGCAACCTCCGCCTCCTGGGTCCAAGTGATTCTCCTGCCCCTCGAATAGCTGGGACTCTTGGCGCTTGACACCATGCCCAGCTAATTTTTGTATTTTTAGTAGAGACAGGGTTTCACCGTGTTGGCCAGGATGGTCTCGATCTCTTGAACTAGTGATCTGCTACCTCTCCCTGCCTAACTACACCTACATTTTAATAGAATTCAGGCCCCTCCCATAATCCTAGCCTTGTGGCCTTTTACTGGTTTTACAAAGGCAGTTTCCATCCCTGAGCAAAGATTAGTTTCAGGAAGGGAAGGTTATCACCTTTGTCTTAGAGTTAAAGGCATGGCCAGGCTCAGTGGCACATGCCTGTAATTGCAGCAACTTTGGGAGGCCCATCAGGGAGGATGCCTTGAGTTTAGGAATTTGAGACCAGCCTGGGCAACATAGCAAGACCCTATCTCTACTTTAGAAAAAAAAAAAGGCTGGGATCGGTGGCTCATGCCTGTAATCTCAGCACTTTGGGAGGCCGAGGTGGGCAGATCATGAGGTCAAGAGATCAAGACCGTCCTGGCCAACACAGTGAAACCCTGTCTCTACTAAAAATACAAAAATTAGCCAGGCGTGGTGGTGCATGCCTGTACTCCTAGCTACTCGGGAGGCTGAGGCAGGAGAATCGCGTGAACTCAGGAGGCAGAGGTGGCAGTGAGCTGAGATCGCCCCATTGCACTCCAGCCCGGTGACAGAGTGAGACTTTTTCTCAAAAAAAAATAGGCCTGGCACAGTGGCTCACGCCTGTAATCCCAGCACTTTGGGAGGCTGAGGAAGGTGGATCACCTGAGGTGAGGAGTTCAAGACCAGCCTGGCCAACATGGTGAAACCCCATCTCTACTAAAAATACAGAATTAGCCATGTGTGGTGGTGCATGCCTATAATCCCAGCTACTAGGGAGGCTGAGGCAGGAGAATTGCGTGAACCCAGGAGGTGGAGGTTACAGTAAGCTGAGATCGCGCCACTGTTCTCCAGCCTGGGCAACAAGAGTGAAATTCCATCTCAAAAAAAAAAATTAGCCATTGTGGTGTCATTGTGCCTGAAGTCCTAGCTACTCGGGAGGCTGAGGTGGGAGAATCACTTGAGCCCTGGAGGTTGAGGGTGCGGTGAGCTGTGATTGGGTCACTACACTTCAACCTGGGCAACAGAGCAAAACCCTGTCTCGAAAAGAAAAAAAAAAGGCATTTAGCTTGTCGTGTTAGAAGCAAGATTGAGCCAGCTATGTCAGATTTCTTTCACTGTCATAAGATTTGGAAATGTAGCTTGAAAATTAGCAAGAGGCTGAACGCCGTGGCTCACGCCTGTAATCCCAGCATTTTTGGGAGGCCTAAATGGGCATATCACCTGAGGTCAGACGTTCAAGACCAGCCTGGCCAACATAGGGAAACCCCGTCTCTGCTAAAAATAGAAAAATAAGCTGGGTATGGTGGCAGGCGCCTATAATCCCAGCTGCTTGGGAGGCTGAGGCAGGAGAATTGCTTGAACCAGGAGGTGGAGGTTGCAGTGAGCTAAGATCGCACTGCTGTACTCCAGCCTGGGTGACAGTGAGACTCTGTCTCAAAAAAAAAAAAAAGTTAGTGGGACATGGAGGCACACACCTGCAGTACCAGATACTCGGGAGGCTGAGGCAGGAGAAATTGCTTGAACCTGGGAGGCAGGTTGCAGTGAGCTGAGATCGAGCCACTACACTCCACCCTGGAGGACAGAGCGAGACTCCATCTCAAAAAAAAAAAGTAACAAGGTTGACGTGCCTAACTTTAGCAATCTTGAAAGGATGGATGATTCCATAAGAAATGTAAGAAAACAAGGAAGAAAAACAGTCCTCAGTGACAGTCAGGGAAACCTATCATAACCAAGTGACCTGTTCTCTAATTTCACCTCGATGAGATTTTAATTTCTGCAGATTCATTTGTATAAGTACAGAATGTGGGATCTGCAAGAATATACATTCCTGCCTGCTCAGCTAAGATGTCATCTAAGGCGATTATATTATCTAAGACACACTGAGCCAGTGAATGAATTCCCCTCTGCTGGCTGGCCTTGCCGATGCCCTTTTCTCAGCAAGAATCCCTGACATCAGATTCCACATCCTGTGCTCATGGGATGCCACTCCCCACCAAGTCACCCAAAGACCCAGGTCCATCTTTTTGGCTTCCAGGATCCCCAAAGCGAGTCCGTGGACTGCTGAGTTCTGCAGCCTCCACCTCTCGGGTTCAAACGATTCTCCTGCCTCAACCTCCTGGGTAGCTGGGATTACAGGTCCCAGCCACCATGCCTGGCTAATTTTTGTATTTTTAGTAGAGATGAGGTTTCACCATCTTGGCCAGGATGATCTTGAACTTCTGAGCTCCTCATCCGCCTGCCGTGGCCTCCCAACGTTCTGGAATTACAGACGTGAGCCACCACGCCCAGCCCAGTTATGGGTTTTTAAAGGTGGAGAGGCAGAGGTCACAGGCAAAGTCATAACTCAGTACATAGAGACTGTACATTGGTTTTGGCATAAACACCAAGGAGACCTTGAAGCCGGGGCCCACAGGTCGTAGGTGGATTTGAAGGTTTTCTGATTTGGTGTTGGTTATGGAAGCAAAGCTTTCTAAAACTTTGGGATACACAGTAAAGGATGTTAGCTTGGGGTTGTGGGCGTGGCCTCCTCCAGGGCCCCCAGGAAGAAACCTAGGTAAGAGAAGGGTGATCAGAAGTCAGTCCTCAGCTCCAGCTCATCTGAGATGTTTGCCAGTGCACCCCTTTGGTGGGGGTCCCAGTTTCTGAAAAACAACTCAGGGCACCTGCTCAGATGGCATGGTTCGCTTCTGTGGAGACCCTTAGGACTCTGGCTGTCGGCTGTTGTTCTAAACCCCTGTGACCTTCCTGCAGATCGGCTGCTCACTTACTTCTCAGGGCTGGCTGGGTGCCTGGATTGCCCTTGAAGGAACTCAACATTGTCCTTGTTTCCATGCTTGGGGGACCCACAGGCCTGTAAGAGGGGTTCCTGTTTGATTTCAGGAGCAGCAGGTGCGGAGGCTCTGGGGTGAGAGTGGTAAGATTCGAGGCCAAAGCGGCGGGTGAAGGCCAGGCTGCACTGGGCTTAGGAGGCCACAAAGGTGGGCTCTCCTGATGTCAGGCGGGGTCAGGAAAGGCGGCGGGCTTGCCCAAGACAGCAGCCACTGCTTTTGCTTCTGTTTGGAAGATGGGCGGCTGCGGGAGCCTGGCTGTTCCAGGTCACACTTCTCTCCCTGTCCCAGCCCCATCTGCCGGGTGTCCTTCCTTGGGGCCCTTGATGGCACCTGAGCCCCTCCTCCCCCTCCCCAGAACCTTTGATAGTGGTGCCCTCCCTTGGGGACCAACAATCTCATTAGCGTGGCACTGAGACGCCTAATCAGCTCACGGAGCAGCAAGATAAATGTCCGGGCTGGCGTGCTGCGGAGGAAGGCCCAGCACTCACACCGTGGCCCTCTGAGACCCGTCCTGCACTTGGTGAGTCATGACGAACCCCGCTGTCTTTCCTGGCAGCCACTTCCCCAGTGAGTTAGCGTGGGTCAGCCCATTCATTGTCCAGGGGCCGGGGAGCCGACAGGCTTTTACCGCCGCGCCTGAGGTCCGGGTCTGCAGAGCGTACCCGCCACCCCATTATTCAGAAAGGACGCAGCCAACCATGTCCTCTGCTCCCCCATGGTACCCAGTGCTGCCACCATCCCCAGGCCAGCGATGCTCTGGGAACCTCAGGCCACATGGGCTCAGCTGACTGAGTGGACGCCAGTCACAGGCTGGGTCAGGCCAGGGCAGCGCAGGCAGCGGTTTCCACGTGGACGGCATCTGATGGCTGGAGCTCCCTCAGGGCCCAGAGCTGCTCAGGACAGCCCATGTTCCGGGGCTGGGGTAGCAGTTAGCCAGGCCTGTGCTGTGTGGGACACGAGGGTTGGGTACCATGGAATCTGAGCAGCTGGGACCACCAGGCTCTTGAGTCCTGGTTTTGCACAGGCTGGTGCTGGTCCCAGGAACAGAAGCTGAGCCTTAGGAAGGGAGGGTGCCAGGGCAGGGTCCACCCCCATCCCAGGTGCCCAGCACCCCCTGCAGAGTCCTCCTCCCTAGAAGGGGCATCTGCCCTTGCTTTCTGGTCACTCCCATGCCTGATGCTCGGCTAACAGCTGGTGGCAGCCCAGGGCCAGAGTCAGGAATCTCAGCCCACAAGACCAGGGGCAGGAAAGGGGACGCGAAGAAGTGGTCCCTGGGGCATCCAGTGTGGACAAGCCCCCCCTGTGTGTGTCATGTGCCTCCTTCCAGAATCTTCCGGCACATGTGCTGCTGGCAGCAGCTCGCTGGGAGATTAGGAATACCCCTCTGCTGTTAATAGGCTTAGGGGAAGCTCAGCTGCCCTTGGCCCAGGTCACTGGGGCTTAGGGCATCTGGGGAGAGGCCCTAGGGAAAGGAGGAAGAGAGGTCACCCTGTGCAGTGGTGCAAGGACACTGGCCTCGTCCGGAGCAGCTGAGGCCACTCAGCCACGCCATGCCAGGCGAGTGACCCTGCTCCCTGAGCTGGCTCCAGGCACAGAGAGAGCCTGGGGATTCCCCCAGCAGGGGAGACCCACCCCCTAGCGCCCACCCTCCTGGAGCCTCAGCTTGTCCCTCTATGAAGTGGGCCTCGGGGGAAGCAGGGCTTCACAGCTCAGAACCACTTACCTGAGACAGGCCTCTTTTCCAGGGGTGCCCTGCCTGGGAACCCTGCCTCCTGTTTTGTGGGTCATTCTCTGTCAGCACTTCGGGGTGCCCCTCATGGTGCTGACGGGCTCAGGGATATCTCCGTGAGTGGGTGAAAGTAACTGACAGCACCCCAACTGCAAAGCACAGACAGGCAGAAAGCAATAAACGCATCAGCAAGAATCAGAGGGCAAGGGCCGGGCACGGTGGCTCACACCTGTAATCCCAGCATTTTGGGAGGCTGAGGTGGGAGGATTACAACAAGGTCAGGAGTTCGAGACCAGTCCGGTCAACACGGTGAAACCCTGTTTCTACTAAAAATACAAAAAAATTAGCTGGGCTTGGTGGCACATGCCTGTAATCCCAGCTACTCCGAGGCTGAGGCAGGAGAACTGCTTGAATCCAGGAGGCGGAGGTTGCAGTGAGCCAAGATTGCACCACTGCATTCCAGCCTGGGCAACAGGGTGAGACTCTGTCTCCAAAAAAAAAAAAAAAAAAAAAGTCAGAGGGCAACAGCCCTGGGCAACACTCACCAGCCTGGAATGAGGGCTAACGATCAGAACCTGAGGACGCAGTGACTGCTGGGCAGGGTTCAGGGGAGGCTTCCCTGAGTGGGGCGTGAGATGGGCAGCCCACTGACCATCAGGAAGGGCAGCTCAGAGGCGGGCTCATCTGCAGAGCCAGGCAGCGGGGGAGGGGCCCACTTGGGTCTCATCCCAGTCCCAGCAGGGGCCCCAGAGGACTTTCCACTGAGCAGCAGTTGGATGCTCACTCCAGTCATGCTCTCCTGGGGTGGGGAATGCGGGGGATGGGGCAGGAGGTCGCCTGAGGACTGCAGGCTCAGGGCCTGAGGACACGGGCTGGGTTTGCTGTGGATTGTGCGGTGGGGTAAGGGAGGCCGGGATGCAGGGGAGAGGCCGGAGCTGTATGTGGCCAGCATTGCAGGGCACATCCACCAGGTGGGGGAATGGGAGCGTGCGGTGGGCCGAAGCAGAGCTGGCAGGCTGGCTGCCCAGAGCGGATCACAGGGGCGGCTGTCTGGGTGATGCTGGAGTTGGCGGGGCTGGGGCTTAGCCCCTCTACCGGTGGGTTGAGACCCCCACGGGGTTGGAAGCCAGAGGGCTAACTGGGACCCGGGCCTGGTCTGTCCCCAGACCGCAGCAGGAGAGTCCAGGAGCCAAGGGTGCTGCAGCATCTCCGTCAGCCTCGCCATGAACCTGGAGCCGCCCAAGGCTGAGTTCCGGTCGGCCACCAGGGTGGTCGGGGGACCTGTCACCCCCAGGAAAGGGCCCCCCAAATTTAAGCAGCGACAAACCAGGCAGTTCAAGAGCAAGCCCCCCAAGAAAGGCGTCCAAGGGTAAGCAGAGTTGGGGGAGAGGGCCTCTGAAAGGGAGGAGGCGGCCCCCCAGGACTCCAGGAAGGAGCAGGAGCGGCAGGGCCTTGGGCACTTTCCCGCCTTAGTGGTCCCAGGCTCACAGTGGGGGTAGGCAGGGCGGAGTCACCCGCTCCAGATGCTACTGCCAACGTTGCTGGGAAAATACAGCCACCTCCACATGCACTCAAGGGGCGCACTCACAGACAAGCCACCCTCACAAATCCACACTCAAACCAGGCACCCACCACACCCCGCTCCGTGCTCCACCAAGGCGTGCACCTGCCCTGCACCCCAGGGTTTGCTCCTCCTTTCTGGGCCTCAGCCCTGTGAGGCTCCGGGTAGCAGACACCCTGGCTCTGTGGAGGAAGCCCCTCGGCCCCACCAAGCCTCGGGAGGTTGGGGAGGAGGCGGGTCTCTGCCCACTGGACTCCCAGCCAAATGCCTCATCTCTAGGAGGGGTAGAGATGACCTCGGGCCTCGGCCAGACTGAGCCAGGGCTGGGCCCGGCCATGTCCCTGACTGCTCTGTCCTTGCAGGTTTGGGGATGACATCCCTGGAATGGAAGGCCTGGGAACAGGTACGATGCCACCAGTGCCATGCCGAGGTCTGCTGGGTCCCCCGAGGCACACCCAGCACACCTGGGCCCATTGCAGCCCACCTCGGCCCCCACCTGCCCTGCTTTTCACTTAGGGACCCCAGCCTGTCCTTCACTTCTTCCCCCAACACTGAGCTGCAGATCCACTGGGTGGGGCTGTTCCCATTTGGGACCAGGTGAGGGGAGGGATCCGGGAAGGAACAGAACCCTTTGCTGACTCCTCCCCCTTCAGCAAGCCCCACCCTCCTTCCCCCACAGCCAGTGTGTCCCAGGAGGAGGGCCCCAGCCGGGTCCACACGTCCCCGCTCAGCACATGCAGGGCTACACCTGTGCTGTGGGAAACAGCCACAGGGGATGGGGGTCCAGGGGGATGGGATCCTCCCTGATCCAGGGCCCCTTTCTCCCACAGACATCACGGTCATCTGCCCGTGGGAGGCCTTCAACCACCTGGAGCTCCACGAGCTGGCCCAATATGGCATCATCTAGATGAGGGTCCCAGGTCCTCCCCACCGCTGCCTGCTGTGCTTCGAACCCTGCTCGGGATTCCTGTTGAGACCCCTCACTAGCCCAGATGACACCTGGACACCGGGGTGGGGCTGCAACCTCAGGTCCCCCTACATATTAATACCAGTCAGCAGTAGCCCACCACCTCCTTCCAGGACGCCCGCTCAGTGGTTAGCATCCCAAGACACTGGCCCCCTCTGAGTCCTGACAGAAAGGGTTGGCGAGTCTCCGCTCCTAGGGAGAAGGGAAGGTGGCCCCAACCCAGGAGCCTGCTGGACCCCGGATCATCCCTTTCTCACAGCTGGAAAGGTAGGGCAGGGTCTCCCCAGAGTGCTCCCATACCCCAGCCTCCTCTCCTGTCTGGGGTGCAGAGAAGCTCCCCCTCTCTGGAACCCTTCCCAGGTGGGTGCCCTTGGTTTGGACATGCTATGTAGCAGGAGTCCAGGGTGTGTCTGGTGAGCAGATGAGGCCCCAGGCTCATCACACCAGGAGGCCATCCTTCTCAACACAGCCCACCCTTGCAGTCCCTATTTCAAAATAAAATTAGTGTGCCCTCACTTGTCCGTCGTGTATTTGTGCGTGGGACAGGGCCTGTGGTGGGGTCACTTGAGCAGGAGCACATGGGTGAAAGGGTGGGCAGTGGAGGGGCTGGCCGGGCTGAGCGGGAAGACAGCTCATGGGATCACACCCTCACTGAGCCTTGCTGGGGCCCTGAGACATGCAATATCAGGCCACGGCTGGGTCAAGGCAGAAGGCCTTGGTGCACACTCAGGGGCTGCAGTCAATGAAGTGTGTAGGCGGCTGGATCAGGCCTCACAAAGAAGGCAAGACTGGACATGGCTCACACCACATGCCATGAGGCCAGAGCTCCTACTCCCACTGCACAAGAGAGAATCTGAGGCACAGTGATACCAGCAACTCCCCCAAAGCGCCCAGCCAGCTCGTACTTAGCGCCCACTAAAACTATCTATAGCTGAGTGCAGTGGCTCATGCCTATAACCTCAGCATTTTAGGAGGCCAACTCGGGAGGATCACTGGAGCCCAGGAGTTCAAGGCCAGCCTGGACAACATAGCAAGACCCTGTCTCTATTTGAAAACAATGAGGCCGGGTGCGGTGGCTCATACCTGCAATCCCAACATTTTGGGAGGCCAAAGCGGGCAGATCATTTGAGCTCAGGAGTTTAAGACCAGGCTGGACAACATGGTAAAACCCTGTCTCTACAAAAACTAAAAAATTAGCTAGGCGTGGTAGTGTGTGCCTGTAATCCCAGCTACTCAGGAGGCCGCATCAGGAGAATTGCTTGTACCTGGGAGGCGGAGGTTGCAGTGAGCTGAGATTACGCCACTGCGCTCCAGCCTGGGCAACAAGAGCAAAACTCCGTCCTGAAAAAAAAAAATACAGAAATAATTGCCTGGGTGTGGTGGTGGGCACCTGTACTTCTAGCTACTCAGGAGGCTAAGGTGGGAGGATCGCTTGAGCTGGGGAGGCAGAGGCTGCAGTGAGCTGAGATTCTGCCACAGCACTTCAGCCTGGGTGACAAAGTGAGACCCTGTCTCAAAACAAAACAAAACAAAAAGCATGGCCATCTGTGACCGGGGTCCGGCTCCGGACACCACATCCAGGGGAAGCAGGAGCCGTGCAAGCAGGCCGAGCAGCAG